GGTACAAAGAAGAAAGGAGGAAAAAATAAAGCATTTTCACCCCTTTCTCCCAATTGTTCTTGGTAGAAATAAAAGATGTTCATTTTTAAAATGTGGTACAAGTTATAGTAAGTTCACAAGAGAAGTTTCCTTGTTACTGAAATCCATAAAATTATAAAACTTGATAAGGTAAAAGTTAATAGTCTTAATTCTTTGAAAACATAAAAAAACCGAGAACTTTATTTTAAGCACTTTACTCAACTATTTTGATTATTATACATAAGTGAGAAGAAAGTGTAATTGGCTCAAGGAACACTGCTGCCTAATCAATGAAATTACAGGAATCAAACTTTACCTATCTCTTAGTAAGAATGCTATGAGAATACATAAAAGATTGATATATAATTCAAACTTTTTAGTACACAGCCAGGCTTCTGAATAAGACTGTAGCACAGGGACAGGGGAGTCAGAGTTCAGGCTCAGCTCCGAGTCCACTCTGTGTGCTCACATCACACCACAATACTGCATTTTCTTCCACTAAAACTGCCAAATGGAAGTACAGGCTCCTGAACATTCAGGTTTGAAGCTTACTAGAAATTGAAGAAAGTTTTCCCAGTAGCAAGATTTCTCAACTTAAGAAAGCTGCTCTAAAATCATTCACCAGTCCCATGGTGGGTCACTTTGAGAATTCATAGAGTTTTATATACAAATTATTCACTTACTTAAAGACTCCTATTAAATAAATATATGTAACTTACTTTAAATGGCTTTATTTTAACTAAATTGATACCTCCTTTTGCATGTCCAACTATTCCTGTTGATTTTACTTAACTGGTTTCCTATTCAACAACAAAAGCTCTCCTATTTTAGTAAAAATGTCAAAATGTAAGTACGAACAACGTTAATATCGGTCATAAATAGACAGACACCAACCTAAAGACTGCCTTCCAGGATAGACTGGTTAAATGTGTGAGGTGACAGTCACAGTTACTCATTCTAGAGTTTAAGTTAATTGCTATTATTCAAATACAGTTGCTATGAAATCACAGATTCAGTTTGTGATACTTCCACTAGGTAATGGGTTTAAGTCTATGCTTAGATCAGAAGGGGAAAAAGGGGCCTTGTTCTGCAATGTAAACGGGAATAAAAGAATTGTGTTTGTCTATTTAGGAGAACTACTTTAATGTATTTTTTATAATATGATCACATAGTGAGTGGAGCTCAGAACTACTGAATACAGTGTTTTATGTCCTAGTTACAAATTCTTCTTTCTTTAGTTTCATTTGTTCATTAAATTTGAACAGGTTCAGTCCTCTCCTGCTCTAGTCCCAAGTAAGCTTTGCACTTCTTCACAAAGAATGGGGATTCGAAACCATGCTCATACTCTAGATAATTCTCAGACCTCAAAATCTCTTTGGAACTGGATTGGAAACTGGTGTTAGAACTTAAACTATGACTGTCTGTTGCTATTTGTACTCACAGAGAGCAGCCACTCTTCACTAACAGCAGTTAAGGCCAGAACCATGAGGAAGCGTGGCCCAGTCACAGTAGGAAACGGATGCTGGTCTTTAGGAAATACTTGGATAGTCTGATCCCAAATGTGCCGAAAGGTACTAACATGTTACTTCTTTTTAAAAAGTCGGATAGTTTGAGTTTTTCAATATTTCAGAGAAGCACTTCCAGGGAGAGTGGTCATATTCAAGCCAGTTGAATAGGGGAAGAGTATTTGAGATTAACTGGAATGGCCTCCCTGGATAGCAGAATGGCGTTTATCAAACCCGAATGTATTGAAAACTTTTTCTACCTCCCCTCTTTCCTAAGTCAGATAAAGGCATTAAAACTTTCCAGAGGCCAAAGGAGAACCTCAGACTCATTTTGGATTCCTCCTGCTCTTTTTCTTCTACCCCTAATTTGGTTAATCAACTGAGGCCTATCAAGTGTAACTATGAATTGCTTCTTCCCTTCCAATCCCACTGCCACTGCTTTGAATACGTGCACACACTCTCTTCCCTGGGCTGCTGTAATAGCCAACTACTGATACCCCTGCATCCAGTCTCTTAAATGGATGCTGCTGCCTTTGTTCATCTTTTAAGTGTCAGTGTTTTTGGAGTTCTGTTGTATATCCTCTTGCTCTCTTATTCTGTCACTTTCTCCCTGGACAATTAATCTACCTCTGTGGATTCCAGTGCCCTTAATATGATGATAATCCTGCCATTTTTATCTCTAGCCTAGATCATTGTTTTAGGCTTTAAACCTATAAGTTCATTGGCCTAACAGACATCTCTTGGAGGTCCAACAGGAACCTCATTTGTCCCACCTCAATCCTACTCTTCATCTGTGGTCCCTATCTTAGAAAATGAAACCTCCATCTGTCCAGGTGAGAGCCAGAAACCAGGATACTATTTCTGAATTCTTTTACTCATAACCCCACACTTATTTGTGACTCAAATCTGTTCATCTTTCTCCATACCCACTGTCACTGCCTTACTTCAGACCATCATTAAATGTCCGCTGATTGCTGCAAGAGGCTCCTAAACATTCTCTCTACCTTCAGACTTGTGTCTCTGCAATCCTGGTTGCATACTGCAACTGCAGCGATTTTTCTTAAAAGGCAAATATGAACACACCTCTCTCCTCCTTAAAATCCTTCCATGGCTTACTATGGCCCTTCAGATCAATGCAGAAATGCTTAACTAATCTATAAAGCTCCTCCAAGTTCTGGATACTCATCACTAGCCAATGCCTCTTTAATTAATTAAGCTACGTTTTTTAAACTTGGTCTCTCTGCTTTCCATTCTGGGTCTTCACAATTTTTTTCCCTCTTTTGGAAATATTCTTTCCCTCTCTCCTTGCCTCCTTTGCCAAACTCATCTTTAGATGCCAATGTGGATTTAATTTATTATTTCCCTGAAATGCTCCTCCCAAGACTGGGTTTGGTAGCCTTCTGATTTGCTCTAACAGCACACTACTCATTTAATACAGCCATTTTTGTTTGTACTCAAATTGCCTTTTCTGTCTCTCATTACCATACCATGAGTTTCTTGAGGGCAGGGACTTTATGTTAAATTATGTCACAGGTGCCTAAAAAGCCTGAATCCACTCTATAGTTTGAATTCAGGTCACCCCCTCCTTAATGATCTCTGACAGCTCTCACATGCCTACCGAAAAAAGACCCAAGTTCCTAACATGGCACATAAGGCCCTTCTCAACATGCTAGACGACATCTTCCCAACTTCATGTCCAGGAACTCCTGCCTACCCTTCCTCTACTTTCTGCATGTGCTACGCTGAATACCTCTGCACAGGGTCATTCTGATGCCTCTACATGTTCGCTTACACGGTTCCCTCTTTCTGGAATAGCACCCCTTTGCTGGTTTCCCTGAAGAATTTTCTCCAAAGCACTCTGAGCTCCAATTCAGGCACTCAATAGTTCTCTTCTAGGTCATTGCAGAACTCTATATTTTAGTCTGTTCAAGCACTTATCTTGCTGTATCATAGATACTTATTTTTAAAAATATCTCACTGGCAAGACAACGAACTTCAGAAAGATACATAAAATAAATACTCATTTTTAGATGTTTGCAACAGTGCCTGGCATCTAGTAGTACTCAACTATTTGTCACAATGAAATAATTAAAACAAATTTAACTCTGCTTCAACTACTGTTATTGAGATTAAGGCAGAAGGCAGGTAAAGGAAGAAAGGTTCATTATACAAAATCTAAAAACTGAAAATGTGTCAGTTTATACACTTTGCTTAACCCTAGAATCTAGCTTCCTACTCAAACTATCCCCTTTATTAAAAAAAGTGCCACATAGAGAGGTTGCTGCTACTAACTCTTACAAGTAAACTCTTCTGATTTACTTACTAATTCCAATGTATCCTTGGCTAGAAAAGTAAAAGAATGAGGAAAAAATAAAATGAGCTAGAAATGTTTTATGAGTAATGATTGATCATGGACTTTAAAAGCTAAATTCAATGACACAAGACCAGAAAGCCTTGATGTGGATCTCTGCCCTGAAGGTTTCTGACTGTGTACAAACCACTCATCTATCAAGCCTCGGCTTTTCCAGCTGTGTGATGGAAATGATAATGCACACTTTACACATAGGGCTATTGTAAGAATTAAGAGTTTACATATGTAAAACATTTAGAACAAAGCATGGCATAGAGTAAGCAGTTGTTGTGTTAGTTATTATCATTATAACATATTATATTATATTATAACATATTATATTAATTCCTGTAATGCCTTCCAACTCTACTTTTTAATTCCTAAATTCTCCCTAGTTTTTCCAAAGGGTGTACAAAATTAACTATGTAGTTAAAAAAAAAACCCTTTAGAGTCTTTGTTGGTTTGGGTTAGAAAACTGTCAGAATTAAGATGTGGATGCCATAAAACTAAAAAGGAGTGTACTGCAATTTTAAAATCATCATTATCACCGCTAAAATATATGGTCTTGTTGAAATTTTAAAATACTAACATAGATATATTAAAACCTGATTTTAAAATGTGATATAATGATATTAATGAAATTCACCTTAAAAGCCACAAAGATGATTCTCAAATATTTTGATATAGCCTATAATCTTGATAAGTAAATAGGTTATGATTTTGCCATATTTTAAAAGTACAGCCAAATCTTGATTATCATTAGTCTCTGGAGACACAGCATAAATATTTAAAATCTATACACCATTTCAGAACTTCATCATTAGCCTTTTCTCCCATCAAATCTTTACCACAGTTAACTTAATGGGCTACTTTTCATTCCAAATTCTTTCTTTCTTCTTGTGCAATGAAATTGCAAAATAAAAAATGAATAAAAATTTGACAACAATATAGGAAGGAAGGGCTAATCTATACACTAAACAACCAGTCTTTGAATAATCAAGAGTTGGCTGCATAGCATTATGTTTACCTTATGAATAAAAATAGCCTCATTCTCCTTTATATCTTTAAATAAAATCAAACAGGAGTTCCTAGGCCTTAACATTCCTAGTCGGAGTTTCTCTGAGTACCTGAAAGAACCCTGGTGGTACAGGACCTACTGGCATGCCATCTCCTGGGGGAATGTTTCCTAGCACTGGACTGGGAGCTGCTGCAGCACTCTGCAAAGAATAAAGGAGAAACAAACCTATATCATTACAGAGCAGGCACAAAACCAAAGACTAGTGATAATGGCAGGAGGGGAAGCTTTTCATTCCCAGGAAAGAATATTGGTAATTTCCCCCACTAAAGAGGTAAATTAAGATACAACAGTTAGTTTAGTATATAAGTAAGTTATTTGGTTTAAACAGGTCTCTTTACACTTTTTGAAACTGTAATAAGATGTTATATTTCAATGATATATAAAAAGCAAATAATATGACAAAATGATAAAAGTTTAAGCAAATCCTTTAAGGTAACAGTAGGTAACAGTAGGTAAATATGTGAGTAGTAAGTTTGACAATGGTAGATGTAGGAGTTGGAAAAAAGGACTCTCTTTTTAGGTCACACTTTTCTATGTGTCATAATGAGTGTAATTAAGTTTCTGCATACAGGTGGCAACACACATTATTTGTTCCCTTTCTGATAGACTACAATGGGTAGCCAAAATACAATTGATAGCAAAATAAGATGGTGAGTATAAAAAAGTAATTAGGAGATTGAACAAGAGATAGGAATAAGATTTGGAGAGATTACTTTCACATACATAGATTATGAAAAAAATCAGATTGAAAAATTCAAAGCCTACTTCACTCACAATTTCATGCAATCCTGGGGCTTGGTAACATAGGAGTAAGAAAAACTTCAGGTTTAGGCTCTTTTAATCAAATCAAAGTTTTAGATTGAATTCTTACATAGAATAGTAATGCATACAACTGTTCTACAAGCATGGATTTCATCTCTCAACCTGGTCAGACATTTACAGACACAGCTGTCAAGAAGGACCCAGAAATATGCTAAAGACAGATGAGTACAGATTCAACAGCTCTGCTCTGAAGGGAACTCAAAACAAATCCTGGGTCTACTGTATCTGTTTAATTATGGTAAGAACTACTACCAAGCATTAGTTGCACTGGATTTGTGTGAATTTCCATTAGAATACCATGGAAAATTCTTTATTATGCAATACATCCATGATTATTTAGTGTTGATTTTTTATCTTTCTTGTAAAAAAAGAAAAACACACAAATGACGTGGCTTTAAAACATTTCTTCTAAGTAAATGGGATACATAAAACTTCAGGGCAAATGTAAAAATATTATCATTGAAAGTGCTTGTCTCTTTCGTGACTTAATTTATATGCTTTTAATATATACTTTCAGATATGTATTTTCAAACTGCTCTTAAATAATTTATTTTATCACATGACTTAACTTTCATGGATTTTTTTAGAGTGACTTTACTTTTAAGTTTTTATATTATCCCAAATCACTAATATAATTTTACCTATTTTTTATATATCCAATATATTAAATTTGGTATTTTCAAATAAACTTAATTAGGAAACAGTTATTTGCTTCCCCAAGGATATTTAAAGTGAACTTAATTTAAAGAGTCACCATAAAATCCTTCTTCACGTTGCTGTGTATTTATCTGTTAGTCTGTGTGGCCATTTCCTCTCCTGCCCCTTCTGTGATTACATCATTCTACCCTCTAAGATGGCATATGTCAATCTCTGCTCCTTCCTCTTTTTGTGTTGTTTATTTTTCCCTTACATGTATGCCCAGGACCATTTTTCACTTCCTCCTTTCCCTTAAATATTATTATATAATTAAATTTAAAAATATTTTTATTCTCTAACTCATTTCTGAGTTTAAGGACACAGAAGTATACCATAAGTCTATATTTTCTCTTCTTAAATAAAAATCTGAAATAAAAGCTAAAAGAGTTCTTACTTTAGCCTTAGTTGTCAATAGTAGCCTCCAGTAGGAAAAAAAGTTGTATATACTTCTGTATAGAGGCTTCAAAACCACAGGCACATGATAAATTTTGCTTATAAAAAATTAGGATGTAATTGCTTACTGAAAAAAATTAGCATTTATCAAGATACTATATGTTAAATAACTAATAGTTTTATTTACTAGGGATGTTACAGAACCAGCTGCCTAATTATATATTGGAGAATTAAGATAGAAAGTCTGTATTAGATGGAATAGGAAAAATATTTTAAGTATATAAAATTGTGAAGGTAATAATAAAGAAACTAATATATGTAGATACAATTATTAGAAACTGAAAGAGGATTAAGGGAAGGGTGAGCAGGAAAAGACTGGGCAAGAAATACTGATTTTTATTATGAAGTCACCTGTACTATTTTTAAGCCATTTGTAGGTACTCTTTTGAGAAACATTTCAGATGATAATACAATTTTTCAATTTCCCTTTATCTTTTTCACCCAGTCCCCCAAACCTCCTCCCCTCTAGCAACCATCAGTCTGTTCTCTGTATCTATGAGTCTGTTTCTGTTTTGTGTATTCATTTATATTGTTGTTTAGATTCCACACGTAAGTGAAGTCATAAAGCATTTGTCTTTCTCTGGCTGACTTGTTTCACTTAGCCTAAAACCATGTAGGTCCATCCAAGCTGTTACAAATGGTAAGATTTCATTCTTTTTTATGGCTGAGTAATATTCCATCGCACATTTGTGCCATAGCTTTTTTATCCACTCATCTATGGACAGGCATTTGGGTTGCTTCCATATCTTGGCTATGGTAAATAATGCTGCAGTGATATAGGGATACATATATTCTTTCAAATTAGTATTTTGGATTTTTTCAGATATACAAGGAGGGACCCCAAAAAACTTGGAATTTATTTATAAAAATTTTGTATTTATTCTTACATGTTTAAATTTTGGTCACCTTCGAAGTACTCTCCATTTGATGCAGTACACCTATCAAGACGTTTTTTTCCACTGCTCAAAACAGTCTTTGAACTTGTCGACTTTGATGCCTTTTAGTGCTTCTGCTGTTTTTTGTTTTATCTTGTCCGCATCAGCACAATGTTTCCCTTTAAGGACTTTTTTTACCCAGGGAAACACAAAAAGAAGTCACATGGGGCGAGATTGGGTGCATAGGGAGAGTAGGGTATGGAGGCCATGCTGTGTTTGGTCAAAAACTGCTGAACACTCAGCATGGTGAGGGCAGGTGTGCTGGTAAATCACCCATCACGAAATGGGCAAATGTGTTGAGACTTCAACAAAAATTCACTGAAGCTCAATGCAGCCTCTCACAACAACACCAGCTAGTACACTGACACAGATGGGTTCCTAGATCACTAACCTAGCAGGGAAATCCTGTACTACAAGGGACCCGCCCTCCCTAAGATAATTCTGGGTTTACGGGGGTTACCCCTTCTATACCCAGAAGTGGAATCACTGTGTTATAAGGGTTAGTGATTGGGAGCTAGAAAAGAGTGATACGAGTGTAAAGTACAGCATAGAAAATATAGTTAATAATGTAATAACTATGTGTGGTGCCAGTTGGTCACTGGAAACATTAGGGGGAACATTTTGTAAAGTTTATTATTGTCTAACCACTGTGCTGTACACTTGAAATTAATAGAAAATAATACTAAATGTAAACTGTAATAAACATTTTTTAATTAAATAAAAAATAAAATGATGATAGTAGGCATCTTCACAATTTTAATTCAAAGCACAGTTAAATATTTTAGCTGTTGGTTAAAGACATATTCTTAATCATATTAAGAAGTCTTTTTGTGCCTAGTATTCTAAAAATAATTTTCAAAGAATCAGGAATAAAAAAAGAATGTTTTTGACTTTTCATATTTGATAGGTGTTAATTTGGTTTTTGTTTTGGAAGCATGATATAAGTAATCATATACTGATAGTTTTCTTAAACTTAAACTACCATTGTATTTCTGAGATAAGCTAGAATATCATGGGTGATCCTTTTAATAAGCTAATAAATTATATTTGCAAATCTTTTATTCAGGATTTTATATTCTAAATATAGACAGGTTGAAAACATTCCTTGCTGTATTATATTTTTCAAGCTTGAGCATCAGGATTATTCTATCTTCTCAAAATGAATTGGATGACAAACTGTCTTTGATAATGCTCTGAAGTAGATTATATAATATTGTACTTATTTGCTTTTTGAAAGTTAAAAAACATGCAGCAGTAAAACTGCCTCAAAACAAAGATATTTTGGAAAAAATTATGATCATTATCCTTTTTATATTTTCTATTTCTATTTGCTTCAATTCCATTCATCTACATTTTTCCCAGAGCACTTTGTTTCATTGAGATTTTTTAGTTTTAGTTATATACATGTTACTTGCACATACTTTAAAAGGGTCCTCTGTAGCAGCTATGAGAGAATCTGCTGGTAGACCACAAACATCTGTTTTTCCCTTCTCCCATGGTAACAGAACTGCAGCCAATTATTATAGGTTAAACACACACAATGCCAATTATATCAATAGCTATAAAATATGACCAAATGCTAGGACAAACCTACTCCCTGAAATTTAAGGTTAAATTAAATGCAGATATTTTTAAGTTAAAAAAGAACTCTTATTTCAATGAAAAAAAGATTAAAAACATTTTAATTTTTAGACTATGAAAAACCAGTTTTTCTGTTTTGGAAATTCAGATCGTAGAAACAATCTAAAAATCACTTACATTATTCTTGGGCATTTGTTTGCATTGACTAAACAAGTTCATTTTTCAGCATCACATACTCTACCCAAGGCTACCCCCACAGATTTTCAGTCACCCTCTGAAAATCTGGAGAACCAGCATCACTGATTGTTGTAATACTTTTTTAGGTCTGTTTAAATCACACAAAAATATTTTTATGTTGCTTTCACAAAATCTTAATTATCCAGAGAATAGTATTCAACCTCTTAGGCTTCCAAAAGAGGGGCACACCCAGAAATAGCTTTAAAAACAAAATAAAAAAAGCAGAAACCAAACATCTGTGAAGAAGGGGCCCCTAAAAAGCATATAAAATGGCTAAGAGCTGGTGATCTAAATATTACAGCTGATGTCTGCCATGAAGAAGAGAAAGAGTGCTTTGATTAGCTGGCAATTTCTACATAATGGTAACTTTTTCATAGGAAAGCCAAGAAGCATTGGAAAGTATAGGAAACAGAAG